CCCATGCTGGCCCCCTGGCCCACGTCCTCTGCCCCTCATCGGGAACCTGCATTTGCTGCGGGTGTCCCAGCAGGAGCGCTCACTGATGGAGGTAAGAGGGGTGGGCATCCTGCAGCTGCTGTGGCACCCGCTCTCATCTGAGGAAGCAGAGCCTTAGTTTTCCGGGACCCCTGTGAGTCAGGAGGTTCGTGGTCCAACTGTGCGCTGGCCTGGCAGGGGACACAGGGGCCCAATGTCCACCCTGTCTTGGGGAGAAGAAAGACACCACCCACATTGACAGAGATGAGCCATCCAAGGAGCAGGGAGCCAGGAGGACTTCCTGGAAGAAGCAGCATTTGAGAAGACCCTGAAGAAGGGCCAGGTTCGGGGCAGTGGAGGGGAGGGGCAGGTGCTCTAGGGAGTGGCACCACGTAGCAACAACAGGACCAGCACACACAGGTGCTGCCCACCTGCCCAGCAGAGGGGCAGCTGGGGTGCCTGCTGGCTGTGGCTCCTCCTGCCTGGGATGGAGACTGCAGCTGGGCGGGGAGGAGGGGGCCGCTATCGCCCACAAAGCGACCTGGACTGAAGCAGCTGCCCACCAGGCTGCAGGTACCAGGGTTCTGGGTCCCGGAGGCTGCCATCCGGCATGCAGGGGGCAGAGCGGGCAGTGGACTGGAGCGCGGGCCGAGGTCCAAGCCCCAGCTGTGGTGGGAAGATGGCAGCCCTCCTCACCCTCGGCAGGGATGCTGTGGGGACAGGCACAGAGGCCCCCAAGGCCAGTGCTTGCCGGCTCCGTTCTGTGCCCTCACGTTGGCCAGGGGAGGTCAGAGTGGGACAAATTGCCCAGGCAGGCCCGGCAAGGGGGGGGCCTGGGGGACCTGGGGGACTGCTCCTGTGTAGGCCCTGGTCTCCTGGCACGGCCACCCTAGCACACGGCCCTCCAATCCTGCCCCCTGGAGTGTTCCCCTGGAAAGAAAACCCAGGACAGCCACACCCAGCACCAAAGGCAATGCCCACCTTCCTGGAGGGGTGCCCTGGACGCCACCCCCGACCCTGCTCCTGCTCTGTGGCTCCTGGGCCTTTGCTCATATGCCCCCCCCATCCCCCCAGCTCTCAGAACAGTATGGGCCCGTGTTCACTGTCCACTTTGGACGCCAGAAGACAGTGGTGCTGACTGGCTACGAGGCGGTGAGGGAGGCCCTGGTGGGCACGGGGCAGGAGCTGGCCGACCGGCCCCCCATTGCCATCTTCCAGCTCATCCAGGGAGGCAGGGGTAGGTTTGGGGGGGGAGGGGGTCCCCTCAGATGGGGAGGGGCAGTCACCAGCTCTGCTCTGGGGAAGGACAGGGTGTCCATGTGGCAGGCAGAGTGGGGGTGGTTGGTACACAGCACACCAGGAGGGGAAGCCAAGGCCAGCTCCTGGGGGACAGGCTGGGGACCAGAGTGAGCTGCCCGCCTGCATCTCCTGGGCTCGCTCCCCCCCCATGTTGGCCCACAGGCATCTTCTTCTCCTCCGGGCCTCAATGGAAGGCCGCCCGCCAGTTCACCGTGCGCACCCTCCATGGCCTGGGTGTGGGGAGGGGGCCCATGGCCAACAAGATCCTGCAGGAGCTGAGGTGCCTCCTGGGGCAGCTGGACCAGTTCGGAGGTGAGTGAGGGCTGGGGACACGCCCTTCCCCCAGCCCCTCCCCACTGAGGCCTGTCTCCCACCCCAGGACGGCCCTTCCCCCTGGCCCTGCTCGGCTGGGCTCCCTCCAACATCACCTTCACGCTCCTCTTCGGCCAGCGGTTTGACTACCAGGACCCTGTGTTTGTGTCCCTGCTGGGCCTCATTGATGAAGTCATGGTCCTCTTGGGGACTCCGGGCCTGCAGGTGAGAGGTTGCTGCTCCACACCTGGGGGCGGGGCAGGGAGCTCAGTGCCAGCCTGAGACAGGCGGGAAGGGGCCCAGTGGCCACCAGCCAGGAGAGGTGAGCTCGCCTAGAGAGGCAGCGCAGGACTCCTGCCGGTCCCGTTGCCCACACCCGTGGCTGTGCCAGCCCAGGCCAGGGCACTGTGCTACCCAGGAAGCTGGGGGTCTAGGGCAGGGGTCCTCATCTCCCCTCCCCACACCTTCCCATCAGCAAGAGACTCACCTGCTCAGAGCGGTGGGCAGGATCTGGGGCTCCGTGCCTGCAGGCCCCCCACCTGCCCCACCCAGGGATCTTCAGGCACACGAATCACAAGTCCTGACCCTAAGAACGCCCACGATTGTGTGCATGTCATTCTTTCCCCAAACCCGGCACGTCCACGTTTGCAGCTCTGAGCACCGTCTCTGACCGTAGCTCATGAGAGCCTGGTCTGTACGTCACCTGTTCACAGGGGCCATAGCTCACAGGTACTTTCCACCCCACTCCTCCGACCAATGTCAGGAGGTGACAAGGCCACGGCCCGCGCAGGGCTGGGACAGTGAGTCTAAGCCCTAAGTCTGGTCAGGGGAGCAGGTGAGGGGCCTCTGCACCCCTGGGCGGGTGGACTTGGCCCCTAAGAAGGCCGGGCCGACCCAGGACCACCAGGGAGCCTCAGGGGGATGGAAGCCTGTAGCTCCCGGGGCAGCAGGGCCGTCTAGCCTCCTTCCACCCCGGCGCTTGCTCCTCACAGCCACACAATTTGTTCCCAGGGTCCAGTCATGCTCCCAGGTACCAGCTGCGCAGGTGCAGCCTGGGCGGGCATCTCGCGAGCACAGACTGCATGCTGACGGGGGGCCCATTCCCAGGGGCTGGGCGGAATCCTTCCCTTTTTTAATGGCAGCTGACTCAGTTATTTCCAAGGGCAACCTCTCCCTTCCACCGGCTTTGGTGGGTGGAGAGCGGGGCGTGACCACAGCCACCGGCACTAAGCTCCCAGGTGTGCTCCTTGGCACAGGCCCCTCCTTCCTGCCCTGGGACAGGTTTCCCCAGGCTGCTGGTCCCACCGGGTGGGGCTGTGGGGCCCAGTGCCCCGTGCCCGGCGCCCTCTTGTGGCCACAGGTGGCACCAGTCCCCCTTTCAGCCAGGACAAATGCACACACCTGAAGGATGGATCCGTCCCTCACCTGGCGCAGCTGTGGAGCCTGAGCCCTCACCCTCCACCCTGCTGTCTCACCCCACCTCCAGCTGTTCAACATCTACCCCCGGCTCGGGGCCCTCCTCCAGCTGCACCGGCCTGTCCTGAGAAAGATCGAGGAGGTGCGGGCCATCCTGAGGACCCTCCTGGAGGCGCGGCTGCCCCCCAGGCCCAGGGGAGGCCCCGTGCACAGCTACATGGATGCCCTGATCCAGCAAGGCCAGGTGTGGGCGAGACCCACCCCACCACCTCAGAGGCCTGGGGAAATCCGGGGGCCCCGTGCAGGATGGACTCACCTATTCCTGCACGTGTTCCTCCATCTCCTGGCTGGAGGCCTCTCTGAACCTCAGTCAACTCACCTGTGAAGTGGGGTTTCCCAGTTCTGCCTCAGGGGGTGGCTGGGAGGGTGAGGTGAGCTGGAACGGGCCAAGTGCTCAGAGGATCCTGGCTCTGCCCTTCCTGCCAAGTCTGTCTTCTGCCCCTTTTCTTGAGCCCAGGGCTGGTGGGGGGCCCATGGGGCCCACCTCCCACTGAGCCCTGCCCCACCCGCCTCTGCAGGGGAGGGACCCCGATGGCTTGTTTGCCGAGGCCAACGTGGTGGCCTGTGTCCTGGACATGGTCATGGCTGGCACGGAGACCACCTCGGCCACGCTGCAGTGGGCGGCCCTCCTGATGGGCCGCCACCCAAGTGTGCAGGGTGGGTGTGCAGGCCACACAGCTCACTTGTCCCAGCCCCCAGTGGGTGGGGGTCCCTAGGGGCCAGGGGAGGGAGGCTCCCCGGACACTGGCGCCGACCCTCTTGCCCGCAGCCCGGGTGCAGGAGGAGCTGGACCGTGTGCTGGGGCCCGGGCGGCCACCCCGGCCGGAGGACCAGCGGTCGCTGCCCTACACAAATGCTGTGCTGCACGAGGTGCAGAGGTTCATCACCCTCCTGCCCCATGTGCCCCGGTGCACGGCTACCGACACCCGGCTGGGCGGCTACCTGCTCCCCAAGGTGGGACGGCCAGGCCTCATCCACAACCCTGAGCCCAGCCCAGACCCTCACTCGCTCTTTCCACTACCCCTTGGGGTTGGGGGACTCTTGGGTGCCTGAAGCCAGGGCTCCCACTTGTAGGCAGGGGAAGGGCTTCAGAGCAGCAAACCTGGGGCCTGAGGCCTGGGGCCAGCAGGGGCTTCACCTGTGCAATGGGCTCACGTGTGCGAGAGGAGGCTTCCATGCTGAAGCGAGCCTCCACGGGGCAGGGGCTGAGGGGCCTCGCCCATCTTCCCGTCCTCCTTGGGGACCCTCTCTCCGTGCTCCTGTCTGGGGCCAGCCCAGGTGGACAGGGTGCCTCAGCTGAGCCTCCTGCCGCCCCACCCACAGGGCACACCCGTGGTCCCTCTGCTGAGCTCCGTGCTCCTGGACAAAACGCAGTGGGAGACACCAGACCAGTTCAACCCGGGACACTTCCTGGACGCCGACGGGCACTTTGTGAAGCGGGAGGCTTTCCTGCCCTTCTCTGCGGGTATGCAGCCCCCCCTGGGGGCCTTGGGGCTCAGGCTCGGGACTTCCCCAACTCCCACACCCTACGGTCTGCTCAGAGCTGGGCGCTGACCTGCGTTCAGGCCACTCCAGGCTTTGCTCTCTGATTGCCCTCCCTCGCCCTTCCATCACCCCCACCAGCCAGCTCTGTGCCTCGGTTTCCCCACAGGCCGCCGCGTCTGCGTGGGCGAGAGCCTGGCCAGGACAGAGCTGTTCCTGCTGTTTGCTGGTCTCCTGCAGAGCTTCCGCCTGCTGCCCCCGCCTGGCCTTGGCCCCGCCAGCCTGGACACTGTTCCCGCCCCGGCCTTCACCATGAGGCCACCAGCCCAAGCCCTGTGTGCAGTGCCCAGGCCCCAGGGGCACTGACCGAGGCAGGTGTGGCCTGTGCTTTGGACAAACTCCCAGGGCCCAGGGAGGGTATGGGTCACTGCCCCTGGCTCGCAGCCTGTGGACAGATGGTCCCTCACCGAGCCCCTGGCCTCACCACAGCCCTGTTTGAGAGAGACTGCGGGCCCAGGCAGCTCTGTCCTTAGGGCTGGAGACGAGCCCCCAGGAGACCCATGGAGGCAGGCCATCTTCCAGGCCCTGGCACCCCAGTATCGACCACTTCCCTCATCTCTCCCCAGGGCAGCCAGGGCCCCTGGTCTCTTTTCATCTGTCCCTCCTGCCCCAGGCTCCTGGGTTTCAGCCGTTGCCTCTGTCAGCACCAGGACCTTACCAGCCCTTTCCTGCCCTGCTTCCCCCATGGCCCATTGGTACAACCTTTCCTCAAAGTCTGCCTGACCCACTGCCCTGGGCCCCACTGAGCCCGACTCTGTGACCTTTCACCCCATTTCCCCTATGAAGAAACGGGTGCAGCTAGGCCCCCCCACTGGGCAGTATCGACGCCCCGTCCTCACGCGTGAAAAACAATAAAAACGAAGGGTGGCAGCTGTTGGGCTTCCTTCCACGTCACTCATCACCATGGAGACTGGGATGTGGGGTGCCCGACAGCCACAGACGGGACTCGACCGCAGGCCACTCCTCAGCATGGACTCGGTCTGGTCCCCACCAGATGCAGATGTGGCCGGCCCCCCATGGCCTTGACGCTGTGGGTCAGGAGGGGCCAGACAGGCCGGGTGCAGGACCGAGATGCTGGGCAGACGGGCTCTGAATGTCTGTGCTCGGCAACCCTGCCTCTTGGCCTTGAGGGGAGGACCTTCGAGGCTGGAGGTGGCTCTTGGTGCCCCAGACCTACCGTTGGCTCCAGCTACACCACAGGTGCCTCCCAAGTCCATGAAAACCAAAACCACAGCCCCCAAACTGTGAGCAAACTCTCCAGGACACACAAACAGGCTGTGGCCTCAGCACCCAGGACTCCCAGGGAAGACAACCACCCGCTGATGGAGACCCCAGAGGAGCTGCCGCCAGCTACCTGAAGGGCAAACATGAGGAGCTGGAGAGCACATCCTGGCAGGGACCCGGTTCAGTGGCTGCCGGTCCTCAAGCCCCCCTAGCTCCACGCCTGGAGTGTTTGTGCATGTGACCATGTGAGCGTGTGCATGCTCGTGAGTGTGTATGATCAGGATTTGAGCTGCACCAATGAGCAGAGGACGAGCCCCTTGGGTTGCAACACAGCACGGTGGGGAAGCCGCCAAGACCCGGGTGTTGGATGGGAGGAGGTGGTATGACCCTCAGTTCAGGGCTCTGGGCTACAGGTGAGTAGAAGCCAAGGCCCCAGTGGTCAGCAAGGGACCTGCCAGCCCCCTAGGGACATGTGGCCCCTCCTGAGCTGGGGTCACCCCTCCTCGGGGTCCTAGCCTCACCACTCAGAAGGGCCCCGCAACACAGGGTAATCAAGGCTGAAGCACAGCCAAGGCTGGGACGCCGCTTTGAGGCAACACCCCGAGGCGCGTCCTGAGTGCCAGGCAGCAGCTGCGTCCTCTGCCCATCCCCCGGAGGTCTGAGTTCTGCTGCTGCCTCCTCCCAGGCCACGAGCTGACCATGTTCCAGGCTGGGGCACCAAAGACCAGCCGGGCAAGTGTTAAAGGGACCTCGCCTGGGTCCTGAAGGACCAGCTGCGTGGAGGTGGCCCAGACCCCAGCTGCCCGAGGCTCCTCCCAACTCACCCCCGAATGCAGCCTCTGAGCTCGGCGCTCGGGGCCCTGTGGCCCCCAGGGTCTGGTGCATGCCCTCCTCTGGGGACAAGGAAAGCAGGTGCCCTCTCTGTGCAGACAGCAGCAGGTGTTTCCGGGTGGGCAGCTGTGGGAGGGCCACGTGTGGTCACTGCTGCCACTGCAAACGGTCGGCCTGCGCAGGGTCAGCCGGCAGCCCCTGGGTGTGTCCTGGGGAGGCCACGGCAGGGACAGCTTCGTGGCTGCACACACACTCTCCCCCTCAGAAAATGCCCCTCCCAACCTCCAAGCAAGTGAGGATGAACCACACGGGATGAAAGCCATGGCCAGCAGGGCTGCTTTTATTGAAAACACAGCCAGTTTCCCTGCAGGCGGGCAGTGAGGCCGCGGCTTGACCTGAGCAGGGAGGTGAGAGGTGGATGGCCACAGCCCCGGAGGCTCGAGAGGGTAGGCCGGGGCCAGGAAACACGTGGCTTGCATGGGAGGGGCCACCAGACTGATGTGCGGGGCCCAAACCTGGGGTGCCCCCCTTAGCCGAACACTGATGGACAGCAGCTGGCGGGAGCGACTCTGCCAATCTCTAAGACCCCTGGGCAGAAAATCAGGCATTTCCCTCAACAAGCAACTTCCAGGGCCCGAGGGTGGCTGGCACAGGCCTGGCATCTCCAGGCTATTTCAGTGGCCTCATCCTGCTGTAAAGGGATGGAACCCGCCATCATCTATAAACCTCTCTGGCCAAGGAGGGTCAGGAGAGAGGTGTCCTTCCAGGGGTCTGGTGCCAGAGGAATGGGACATAGCACCTGGCAGCCTCGGGCCTGATAGTAACCCTGCTGTTCCTCGTTGGGCTCCCCAGCACACCCACTGGAAGGAGGCAGTCAGTGGCAGGGCTGCCCTGGCAGGAAGGGGCCCTCAAGACCGGGCACCCTAGGAGAGCAGCTGCAGCACCTGTCGGACGCGCTGGGTTTTCTCCAGCAGGGGGCAGTCTGGGCTGCTGGCGCCTGCCTCGTCCAGCTCCTGCATCAGGGCCTCAGCCTTCTGCACAGTCAGCTCACGGGCCTGGCCCTTCAGCCCCTCCAGGTACGCCAGCAGGGTAGAGAAGTGCTCATCGGGAACCTGCATGGGAGGGGACAGGAGCTGGTTAGCAGCCAGGGGGTGGCAGGTGGGTGTGGACATGGAGCCATGGAGAACCAAGATGCCTGCAGCGTGGGACCCCTGGCCCTGCAGCTGGTCTCAGGTCCACTGCTATGCCCACCACAGACTGAGGGCCTAGATGGCCAGTCAGCATCTGCACAGGAACCTAAGCCTGGCCTGTGCCCACTCTGTCCCTTGCTCTGGACAGGCTGGGGGTGGTGGTGGTGAGGCAGTCCTCTATCCCTGGGCTATCTCCTCCCCAGTTTTAACTGGGGTTAAAGAGGCTGGTGGCTACCCTTTTTCAGGCCCCCTTGAAATGCCAGTAACTCACTAAGTAGATTTGTCTTAAGGAGACAGATGTGCTGGAGATGAATGACACCTGGACCCAAGGATGCGAGCTCACCCTGCCCGTCCCCAGGCCCAGAATGGCCAGGCCGGTTGCTTCTACAAGTGTATGAACATGTACTGCAGGTCCACCTAAAACATGGCACACTCCTCGGTTTCAAAACTACCGCAAAGTTACAGCCATGGAGACCGGGTGGCCCAGGCATGACAGATGGACGGACAGACAGACCAACCAACCATGGAACAGGACAGAGGGCCCAGAAACAAACTCTCATATCGACAGCCCACTGTTTCCCACAACTGGACGCCCACGTAGAGAGGCACGAAGCTGGACCCCTACCTCAGACCACATAAAGGTGAACTTGAGTAAGAGCTGGAACTATAAAGTTCTCAGGACACAGGAAAAGCCTGTGAGCTTGGGTCAGGAACCAATTTCTTAGATATGACACCAGAAACACAAGCAACTATAAAAAACAGATAAACTGGCATCATCAAAATAAAAACTTGCCCAGCTGGGTGTGGCTCAGAGGTTGAGCGTCGACCTAGGATCCAGGTGATAGGGGTTCGATTCCCGGTCAGGGCACATGCCCGGGTTGTGGGCTCAACCCCCAGTCGGGGGCGTGCAGGAGGCAGCCGATCAATGACTCTCTCATCATTGATGTTTCTATCTCTCTCTCTCTCTCTCTCTCCTTTCCCCTCTCTGAAATCAATAAAAATGTATTTAAAAAAATAGAAATAATAAAAATAAAAAAATTAAAACTTAAAATGGTGGATGTTGTGGTTCACGAATTTCATCTTAAGTCAAAAACTGAGCCATCAGGTGTGTAGATCCCTAACCCACTAGGATCAGCCAGTCAACTGTCCCTAGGCCCCAGACACTGAGACGGGTGCAGGGAGTTGGGTCTGGAGGCCAGCCCCCGTCCCAGTTCTATTTTAACTGGGCTCCCAGGACAGAGAGACTGGAAGGGCGGTGCAGGCAGGGCTGGGAGGCCCTCCCCCAACCCCCCCGGAGCACAGTGCAGGCAGGGCTGGGAGACCCCCCATCCCCACCCCCGGAGCACACACCTGGTCTTTGTCGTACATGTGCAGCAGCAGCCAGGTCTGCCGCGTCTTCTGAAATCTCCAGTCCTCGTGCTTCTGGGCCCAGCTGGAAGAGCAAGGACATGACATTTCAGGTTCCAGGCAGAAGGAGCAGGAGGGTTTGTCTGCACCAACTGGCCTGGTGCTCTCTCTTTGGCTGTCTGCGGGGGTTCTGGGGGGGCCCCTCTCAGCCTGAGGGTGAGGACATGGAGCAGAGGGGCCAAAGGCCCGGGTGGGAGGGCGAGTCACTCCACACGTCCACTGCCCAAGAACGCAGGCCCTGTGTGCCTGGGACCAGGGGCACTTCAGGGGTCCGCCACAGAGCAGGCCCAGGCCAGGGTGGGCCAGCACCAGCACCATCCTCCCAGAGGACCAGAGGCCGTGGGGCGCAGCCTCTTACCTACAGAGGTAGTCCAGGGCCAGCTGGGCGCCCGAGCGCTTGGCAGGCAGGGGCTGGGCTGGGGCCAGGGCCACGCCTGCCTCCCGCAGCCGCTTCCTCTCCGCCTTCTTCTGTTCCTTCTTCAGCTTCCTCTCTAAGACCCTCTTCTGCTCCGGGGACAGCTCTGGGGACAGCTCAGGGTCCGAGCACGCTCTTTCTCTCTGAAAGGCGAGTGCCCCCGTTAGGGTTTCGGGAAGCTGCACCTCCCTGCTCCCAGCCCTGCCCTCACCCAGGACCCGAGGGAGGTCGGCGGGGAAGGGGCTGCTGACTTCTGTGCTCTGGGGGACTGGGCCCAGAGCCTGCTATAGCTCTGACCACCCCAGACCGTCAAGAGCCGACTGACTGTAGAACCCACACTCCGGGCTCTGTGGGAAGCCCGTCTGAGGCCTGCAGAACCCTCCCCGGGAGCAGACTGGCTCTGGGGTCCCGTGTTCCTTCCACCCGGATTTCCCAAACCCTTCTGACATGAGCCCCTTGGACTGAGGATAGTAGGAGGTGCCCCTGTGCCCACCCATCCCTGGGCTGGGAGAACACGCTGGTGGCCGCTGGCTGTCCCCTCTGACAGACAGGGCTGCGGCCTCCCGATGCAACCTTTCCCCAGGCAGGAGCTCGCAGGGGGTGGACAGCAGGACAATGGCCGCAGAGCAGAGCAGAGCAGAGCAAAGCAAAGCAGAGCAAAGCAGAGCAAAGCAGAGCAGAGCAAAGCAGAGCAAAGCAGAGCAAAGCAGAGCAGAGCGGACTTCTGGCTCCCCCCTTCCTCTGCCCCTCCTCCCATGTGCCCCAGCAGGTCCCTCATAAAATGCCAACCCCTTGACAACCTCTGTGTTCCCACTCAGCACCCCGCTCCTTCTGGAATCTCTTAAGTCAAAACAAAACCCCAGCTCTGCCCAGGTCCTCCCTCCTCCTGGAAAGCCAGCTGGAACTGAGCAGCGTGAGGGCCACAGGGATAGCAGCCTCAACAGGAGGCACACGCGACCTCCACCCTTAGCACAGGGCTCACAGACCAGGCCCCTAGCGAGGGGCTCAGGCCTCGGGCCTGGAGGCGCCTCCAGATGGGCCTCCTGTCTTGGGCATGGTGGCCACGGCATGTGCCATGCGTGCAGACAGCCACTGCGGGACAGAGAAGCCCAGAGGACAGGGCAGCAGGGGCTCTGAGGGCATTTGTGTTTGAGGGGGGTGCCAGGTCCAGGACAGCAGTGTGGTGATGAGCATGGGAGGCCACAGTGGGCTGGCTGGGCAGGCCCCACAAAAAGGGCAGTGAGAAGAGCAGGCAAACCGTCCTGCAGCCTGACCGAGGTCTTGATGAAAGGTCAGGGCACAGGGATGGCCCTAAGGAAGGTGGGCAGGTT